TGTCCAACCAAGCAAGTCAAACCGATACAAACCAAGACAAGGCAAGCCATGCCGAACCAGCCCAGACAGGACCAAACCATGTCCAACCAAGCAAAACAAGTCAAGCAATGTCAAGCTGAGACAAACCAAGTCAACATTAGCCAGGCCAGGCCAGGCCGGACCATGAAAAGAGAATCCATTCCAGGCCAAGCCATTCCAGGCCAAGCCATTCCAGGCCAAGCCATTCCAGGCCAAGCCATTCCAGGCCAAGCCATTCCAGGCCAAGCCATTCCATGCCAAGCCATTCCAGGCCAAGCCATTCCAGGCCAAGCCATTCCAGGCCAAGCCATTCCAGGCCAGGCCATTCCATGCCAAGCTCTTACAGGCCATGCCAAGCCAGTGCAATATTGAATAGGACAGGCCATTCCAGGCCAAACCATGTCCAACCAAGTCAGCCAAGCCAGGCGAAGTGAAGCTAGGCAAATTCAAACCAAGTCAAGACATTGTGGGCCAAGCCAGGCCAAGTCAAGACAAGAAAAGCAAGCCAAGCCATTCTGGGCCAAGCCAAACCAAGCCAACACTGAATCGGCCAGACCATTCCTGGCCAAACCATGGTCAACTAAGTCATCCAAGCCAGGTGAAGAGAAATTAGGCAAAGCCAAGCCAAGTCAAGACATGCTAGGCCAAGCCTGGCATAGTCAAGACAAGAGGAAACAAGCCAGGCCAAGCCAAGCCAAGCAAAGACAAGATAAGCCACGCCAAGCCAAAGGAAGACGGGCCAGACTATGTACAGCCGAGCCGGGCAAGCAAAGCCAAGCCAAGCTAGGCCTAGCACAGCCAATCCAAGCCATCCAAGAGGAGCCAAACCAAGCCAGACCAGGCCAAGCCCCTCAAGCAAAGAAAAAGTCAGGCTTGGCCAAGCCAAAGCCATGCCATACCATTACAAACAACCTAGGTCAAACCAAGTCAATCCAAGCCAAGCCAAGCCATACCAAGCCAAGCCAAGCCAATCCACGCCAAGCGAGACCAAGCCAAGCCAAGCCAAGCCAAGCTAAGCTGGGCTAGGCGAGTCCAAGTCGTGCCTGGCCTGGCCAGGCCACGCCAAAACAAGCCAACCCAAGACACTGTACCTGGGCCAACCCAAGGCAAGCAATAAAAGACATTCCAGGTCTAGCAAAGGCCGTTTTTTTCGATGCCAGGCCAGATGAGGCTAGGAGAACCCAAGACACACTCGACCAAGCATGGCCAGGCGAGGCCAGGCCAAGCCATGCCAAGCCAAACCAAGTCAATCCAAGCTAAGCCAAGCCAGGTTTAGCGAAGCAAATCCAGGACAGGCTAAGCCTCCGAAACAGAGCAGCTAACAGAAGTTGCACGCAATTAGGCGTGTCATTGAAGGGAGAAATGTAGGGGTAACCGCAAGATTTGTTTGGCAGGGAATTGCGACTATGTAATTGTATTTAAAGATGTATGCCGCTATTTAATGAACTATTATATTGGTTAGCATACGCATAATAACATCAAAGCTTTTGTACTTGTAATGATAGCAGGCTGTATTGCATAGTATATCGATTCTGTACTCGGAAAATGTAGTGTAGCTGATGAACCCACAATGTTTTGCAGACGAGGATATTTTGGGTTCAGGGCGGGGTCAGGAGAGTACGTTTGAATGCGCTTGTAAAAAGGCTATGTACGATCTAGAGCGGTCTGTAGTTGGAAACCTGGTTTCCAGACCCGCCGTCATCCATATCGAACGCCTTCCACAAAACCGAGCCGCGGAATTATTGGACCTGTACATTCCAGCCGGGAAATGCTTGCTCGGCTTCCCTGCCAGAAATCATGAAGAAAACAGCAGAACCGCCGTGCTCAGAGGCATATATGCCTGCCCGCGCTTTCTTAGTCGCACGACTCAACCCATCCAATTCACACCTGCTTTGGATCTCGTTTCTTATCATTCCACATCAGCCCGTTTCTTATCATCCCGTTTCTTATCCCTTCTGATCCCAAGAGCGATTCGGATGCCATCGGACAGCTGAATCAAGCGACGCATTAGCAAGATTAGCCTCGTGCATCTGGCGCATATCTGCGCTAGGTTCCCCACGTTACTTTCTCGATTTGAAGAACCTCACGTTCTCCCCCAGCCACTCGCAATGGGGAAACCCCCTGGCACCTTCTCCCTGCTGCTCGTTGTCCTCTCCCTCGTCTGCATCTCGCCGCTCCCCATATCAACAGCCGGTGCGCGTATGCGCATTGCGCGCACTCCCCTGGCGCACGAAAAGTACCTCCGTCAGCGCCAGCTGACCGACATCGTCGACCGCGGCTCGCACCCATCTCTGCACATGTTCGGTTCCAAAATGTTTTTTTCCGAGAGAGAAAAGCGCGATCGCAAAACGGGCGCTGACAGTTCGAACCCTCCAATCAAATACCGAGGCGGGCCCGTGATGACCGGAAACCCGTCCATCAACGTGTACATGATTTACTACGGCAGCTGGCCGGCGGGTTCGGGGCAGAAAATAATCGAGAACTTTATTCGATCCTTGAGCGCCGACTCGAATCGGCAGGGGGGTCCCGCGGATCCCAAGGTGAAGCGCTGGTGGGCGATCAGCGCGGCGTACACGCAGCAAGGGGAGAATGGCGCGAAGAAGAACGTCAGCAGCAAGGTGCGGCTTTGCATGCCAATTTCCGTCTACTAGTAGGTGATGTTGGGATCGTAAGTTTCTAAACGGACAAGTGGCCCAAAGGGAGGTGGATGAACGGATGAGATTGGATCGTGCGTGATTGAAACATGAGTGATCGGTCATAGTAAAAGCTGCGTAATAACGCATCGGCGCTTATAAGCCGCCTCGGTTCCAGCTTAATGCAATTCCTCCCTGGTTTCATTTCATTCCAGGTGCGCCTCGCCAGGAATGTCTATGACAACTACTCTGCAGGAACGGATTTTGGCCAAGGCACGGTTTGGGAAGGTACGCAATGCGACAGAACCACTTCGCCTCTCCCAGCATTCTATGTCTCCCGCTAAGCAAAAAAAAGGGTCGCTATATGATTTATTGCGCCCCTTCAAGAAAGTCAGATGTCAATGCCGTAATCTGAACCATTCAAGGCCTCTCTTCTGTCGCAGTTATTTCGAGCAAGATTGGCGCTGGGAAGCCGTTTCCGTACGACGCGAATGGCATCTACCTGCTTCTTTCCAGCAAGGATGTTACCGAACCGGATTTCTGTACCAAATCTTATGGATGGCACAGCATGAACTGGTTAGGGTCAAAACCGGTTGTATTGGCGTTCGTGGGGCATCCCGGGCAGTGCCCAGCGGAATGGATGCGAAATCCGTCGCCCAATGGGAAGCCTGCGATAGATTTCATGCTTTCTAGCATCGCTCACGAAATAGCTGAAGCAGCAACGGACCCCGATGGTGTGACGGGATGGCTGGACGACACAAATGCAGAGAATGCAGACAAGTGTAGCATGGAGGTTGGTACGACGAAAAAGGGTCAGGACAGCCGCGGCAGAACGTACGAGTACAATCTCGTTGGGATGAAGAACATGAGATTTCTGATCCAGAGTAACTGGGACTGGAAGAAGAACAGGTGTGTGACGCAGAGGAGGTACCAGTAGGGGGATGTTTACGTTACGTGTGATGAAGAGGAAGTTCCCTAAGAGAATAAGCGTTGCTGCACTGCTGTTGCTCCTGAAATAAGTTACTCTGGATGTACCGTATCCTGCATTATGAAGCAACGGCTCTTCTTATCCAACAGCTGCATGTGGTGCATCTTGAGCTGAGCACATCTCTCTTCCCTGACATACTTCCCTCCTGACTTTATCAGACTTCCCTCTTAGAGGTTCGTTTCTAAGCTTTGTTTACATTTTTCATAGATGTGTACTACACCGTGGTTCCAAATATTTTTTTATTTCAATCCCTACCCCTCCCCGCCTCCCGCCCTCTTCTCTTTGATCAGCCTAGTGTTTGGTATATCGACTTACACCCTCACTTCTTTGGCTCATTGACTTACACCCTCTCAAGTATTAGCCACACTCAAACTTCTTGGCCTCACTGAATTACAACCTATCGATGTCTCGTGATTGCCTGGTTGATTTTGCTACCACCTGGTTTTCCATTCCTAAGGCCAAAAACACCATAATCTCACTGTTGTAGCCCCTGTCCCTGAACTGAGGTGCCACTGTTCCTTTGTCATACTTTGGCTGAAGTCGAGGTTTCACTAACGAGGTTCATTCAGAATTTTGAAACCGTGTCGCATGTTGACGTTACTACGAACATTCTCAGGGAGGGTTCCCGATTGTGAAGTTCGGTCACAGGAAAGCACCGGAGACCAAATGCTCCTACCACGAGTGGTCGAAGTTGTTACGAAGTGTCGAACGAGCATAGGCGAAAAGGATTTACTCGGATGGAGCTCGCCATGTTCTCTGTGGCCCCAAGCTGATGGCTTTCGAATTATTTTGACGAAACATCAGTTCGAATGTCTCACGTTACAACTGTAGTGTGAATGCTGGGCAATCCCAAGGCTCAACATGGAGTGACGTTGTGGATCCGCCCTTAGTGAGTTCCACAACGTTTCCGTTGTTGTTCGATTCCGCCTGGTTTCCTGCTTCTACGAATTGAGCTCCTAAGGCTGTTAGTATCAGCTTTCCTTGACGCCACGAGCACGTAGCTCAGCCAAGCCTGTACACGTCCTCTCACTGAACAGATCAGAAGCGTTTGACAGATACACGTATCAAAGAGCTTTGCATTTCTATTCGGTTTCCAGCCCGCAATAATTCGTCTTAATGCGAACGCGATGTCGTTTGTTCTGTGCCGTCGATTAGACGGCAGAAACACGGACAATTCCGAGGCCCGTGCGGAGAAGCTGAAAGCATACTCAGCGGCGTTTGAGGCGCCTCAAAACCCCCCGGCGGAGATCCGCAACGCATCCTCAATGTCAGGCTCGGACGGAGGGAATAATGGGGAGGCGATCAGGCGTTCTGCCGTCGACTCGAGCCTCGGCTCGCCGAACCTCGAATCGCCGAGCCTCATGAAGTCAAGCCTGGTTTCGTCGAGCCTAGGATTGCCGAAAGAATCATCGAAGCAGAAGCAGCGGGAAGCTGGGGCGAAAAAGAGGGTCGAGCGGCGTGGGACTCTCGACTCGTGGGTGAAGCGACTCAAGCCGTCCGCCGATGACCCTGCGCGTAATAGTCCAGCTCAGTGCCACGGCGCTCCAACATGCCAGTTCCAACTGCTTAAAACCTCCGAAAATCCTTATTCCAGTCATAAAGACGGTCCCTTTCCTAGTCGCCGAGATCCCAGATCGTGTCCGCTTCGAGAGGCTCAGTGCACAGCCGCGTTGAGGCGATGCGTTGATGCGCCGGACTCGGAGTTGGTGCGTGAGAAATCGTTAGAGTTGACTCAGAAGTCACCCCGATCCTCCGGTGCTCCGATGCATCCGATGCCTGCGAAGTCCCCCTCGTGTGACCTTGGGAGCGAATCGTGTAGAGCTGGGAGCGCATGCGACTCGCCGGGTCGCGAGTTGATGAGTTCGGACTCGGATGATCGCCGCTGCGACGCGCCGCCGTCGGCCACGTGCGAGGAGCCGATTGGCGTGACGGACCGCCTTGTGACGTATAGGAGAATCCGTCGAGTGATGGCTGACGGCGGGTGAGTGATGGCTGTCGGCGGGTGAGTGAAGGTTGATGGCGGGTGAGTGAAGGTTGACGGCGGGTGAGTGAAGGTTGACGGCGGGTGAGTGATAGTTGACGGCAAGAGTGAAAGAAATGGCGTGTGAGAAGGCGGATGGAATATGTTATTTGGCGGATGGTTGACGGTTCACGGCAAGAGCGGAAGGAATACACGGGCCGTCGTTTCCTGATTCTTTTATCTCATTCATCCGCATATTCTTTCATGTCAACTCCCTTTACAGCCGCAAAATCTCCTGGGTCTTGAATGACCAGAACCTGCTTGTACCGTGTCAAACATGATCAGACCGTTTCTCACCTTTATGACGATTGGCTTTCAGAAGCAGGGACGCGCTCCGGCATGTGCTAGGCAGCTCCACACCAGGCCGCTCTTTTGGCGATTCACCAGACTTTTCTCCTGAAGCGTGCAACGTTTTCACAACCAAAAAGGCGGTTGCATCAGCAGCCGCAGCAACCATTCCAAGTGGATGTACCTTGAGGCTGCCTACGAGAACAGCTTCTATCGCGGATATCAAAGTCGTGTCGGCTCCTGCGTTGTCAGCGTCAGAAGAACGTCCACGTGGCACCTCCACATTGGCCTTCTGGTTAAGGCAGGGGAATGGCTCCGGCAAGGAGAGGTCAGGTGGAGCATCGTGTCCGTCAGATGTGCCTCGAGTGGACGATGAATACGAGATCCAACGGCTGAGGAAATCGAAGCTGAAGCGCAAGGCAGAGGCGAGCACAGGGGATGACGAGCACAGAAGCATTGAGGAACAGCAGGGGCTGGCGCAGCAGCGGGTGGAGCAGCAGGGGCTGGGGCAGCAGGGGCGAGAGCAAGAGCAAGAGCAAGCACGGCAGGAGGGGCTGGAGCAGGGGCGACAGCAGACAGGGCAGTTGGAGCAGAATATCGAGAGGCGTGCTGAGGATGAGCGGCAGGAGGGTGTGCACGAGGGGCGAGATCAGACGCACTCGCTGCGATTGCAGGAGGAGCATCCGACAAGTCCGAGAGAGCATTCGAGAAGTCCGAGAGAGCATCCGAAAAGTCCGAGAGCGGCCCATACTCTGCTGGAACAGCTGGGTTCGGAGCGGCCGGAGCAGAAACAACAGCAGCGGCCGCAGCAGAAACAGCAGCAGCAGCAGCAGCAGCAGCAGCAGCAGCAGCAGCAGCAGCAGCAGCAGCAGCAGCAGCAGCAGCAGCAGCAGCGGCAGCGGAAGCAGGTGCTGGCGTGTTTGGACTTTGGGCAGAAGGACCTGCTTCACACCACGTGCCGTGTGTGCGGATTCGTGTTTGCCAAGGGGCTCAAGGCGGACGAGATGGCGCATGAGGCGCATCACAAGCTGTTCTGTGGCACTGTAACCATCCAGGTGAGAGGAGGGGTGCTGTAGGGTCGCCTAGACCAGGGACCTGCTGCACACCACGTGCCGTGTGTGCGGATTCGTGTTTGCCAAGGGGCTTAAAGCGGATGAAGCAGCACACGACGCGCATCACAGACTGTTCTGTGGCACTGTCACCATCCAGGTGAGAGGGGGTGCTGTGCGGTTGCCTAGACTCTTGATATATGAGACACGTGCTGTGTGTGCGGGTTGGTGTTTGCCAAGGGGCGCAAGGCGGACAAAGCAGCACACGACGCACACCACAGGCTGTTCTGCGGCACTGTGACTGTTCAGGTGAGGAGTGGGAAGGTGAGGTCCGTGTATGCGGGTTTGTGTTTGCCCAGGACCGACCTGCAGCACACCACGTGCCATGTGTGCGGATTCGTGTTTGCCAGGGGCTCAAGGGGGATTAAGCAGCACACGACGCACATCACAGGCTGTTCTGCGGAACTGTCACCATCCAGGTGAGAGGAGAGGAGAGGCGGTGGGGTACGGGTGTGCGGGTTCGTGTTCGCTAAATGACTCAAGGCGGACGAGGCAGCACATGGCGCGCATCACAGGCTCTCCTGCGGCACTGTGACCGTCCAGGTGAGGAGTGGGAAGGTGGGGACCGTGTATGCGGGTGCGGGCTTGTGTTTGCCAGGGGCCTGCTGCACTACACGTGCCGCGTGTGCGGGTTGGTGATCAAGAGTATTTTTGAGAATTCTAAAAAATACTCTGTTTGCCAGGGGCCTGCTGCACTGCACGTGCCGCGTGTGCGGGTTGGTGATCACCAAGGGGCTCAAGGCTGATGAAGCAGCACACGACGCACACCACAGGCTGTTCTGTGGCACTGTGACCATCCAGGTGAGAGGAGGGTTGCTGTAGGGTTCGAGATGTGGTGGGTTTGTGTTCACCAAGAGGGTCAAGCGTCAAGGCGGATGAAGCAGCGCATGTCGCACACCACAGGCTCCTTTGCGGGACTGTGACTGTTCAGGTGAGAGGAGAGGCGGTGGGGATTGAGGTCTGTGGTTTTGTGTTCGCCAAGGGGCTCAAGGCGGCTTTTGAGGCGCCTCAAAAGTTCGCCAAGGGGCTCAAGGCGGACGAAGCAGCACACGACGCGCATCACAGGCTGTTCTGCGGCACTGTCACTGTTCAGGTGAGGAGTGGGGAGGCGGGGTCCAAGTGCGTGGGTTGGTGTTTGCCAGAAGGCTCATTCCACGTATGTTTCTTGAGAATTCTAAAAAATCAGAAAGCTCATGAACGGCAGCACAGGCTGTTCCGCGGCTCCGCATCCAGGCGGAGAGAAGGGCAGGAGATTTGTTAAGAAACAAGCATACGACCATCTCTGGGATAGCATACGACTTCTTGGTAAGAGGGTGTGGGGTGCGTGTGTGTGTGCACGCATGTGTGGCTGTATGAGACAGCAAGGGCAGCAGAACGAGCAAATAGGCAAATAGGTCCAGCAGAGTAATACCCACTCTTTCCTCCCCTTTCCCGGTGACTCTGCGCATGTGTGTGTGTGTGTGAGTGCAGGGATGGAGGAACGAGCGCGTTGTGCACACTGCTTCAGAGAGCACTAGGGACACACGCAACGCATGCTCCACAGGAGCAGGGGCCGCAGAGACCCTAGCAGGCAGAATAGTGCTCATCACCCACGCAGACTGCACAGCAGTGCAGCTGGCAAAGGTGCGTTACTGTGCGCTTGACAGCGGTGCTATCTGTGCACTACAGTGCACTGTGCTGCGGTGCGGTGCGGTGCGGACTGGTGAGTAGCATGTGGATGCCTGGCACCACAGGCACCCTGCTCTGCGATGCTCGCGATGCTGTTGCTGACTGCAACTGGAGCGACTTAGAATTCTCAAAAGTCGCTCGAGTATGCTGTTGCTGAATGCAACTGAGGCCCTCACTGTTTTTTTCACCTTCTTCCTTTCGACAATTTGACTGCACACCTGGAATGGACGCACACATCTCTCCCTCCCCACGTTTTCTGCTCACACATCTCTCCCTCCCCATATCTGTGCACTCAATCCCCCCCCCACACCTGTGTTCCTTATCCCATCCAGGTGCATGAAATAGCGGGCAGTGTGAGTCCCACGTGGCTGCTGCTGGCACTTTTCTCACCTCTTTCGCCTTGCCTCTCTGCGCCCTATCCCCTTCTCGTACCATCCAGATGCAAGAAATAGCGGCGGTATTGGAGAGGGCAATGGGTGTGAGCCCCACGTGGCTGCTGGGCGGCCAATGGAAGGTGAGCAGCAGGAGGGTGTGGGTGGCTTCAGGGGTGCTTGTGCTGTCTATGAACAAGGGGACAGGCTACACGTGGGAGTGTTGGAGAGGTCAACGGGTGTGAGCCCCACGTGGCTGCTGGGCGGCCAATGGAAGGTGAGCATCAGCGGGTGTGTTGAGGGAGGAGAGGGGTGTTGTCTTGCTGTGCTGGTCTTGAACGAGACGGCACCAGGCTTCAGGTGGGAGTGTTGGAGAGGGGCATGAGCGTCACACCCACGTGGCTGCTCTGCTGGGCGGCCTGAGGAAGGTGAGGACGCGTCACAATTGAAACATCGATCCTGCGCAGGATCGGTGTTTCGCGGGTACAGTACTTCGTTAAGTTGCGAAACGGTGGTTACTTGACTTCGTCATTTGTCGCCAATGTACAGTTGTCCCCTCGGAGTCACGCGATCGATGTGCCCTTGCCACACATCGATCGTGCAATTTCGTCCAGATCGGGCGATTTTGCCCCAAGATTTTTCAAACGTGTCCCTTGAGAATTGCGGTGGGCCCGCGATTGCAAAAATGCAGTCATGGCACACCGATGTGGCGATCGATTTGGCAGGATCGGTGAACACCCCCGATCCTTCATCGGTATTTCAATTGTGACGCGTCCTGAGGAACTTGCCACCCACGTGGCTGCTCTGCTGGGTGGTGTTAAACCTGCCTTCTAACCCTCCCTCCCCACTTCTACACACCGTAACGATCCCTCGCCCCACACACTCTCCCCGTCCCTCCTCTCACTCTCCCACACACCCTCCCTCGTCCCTCTCTCCCCACACACTCTCCCCATCCCTCGTCCCTCTCCCCACACTATTCCCATCCCTCCTCGCTCTCTCTCCCACAGGCGTATCTGTACATTCGTGGGAGGCAGCTGCTGGGGTGCCTTGTGGCCGAACCCATTTCCCAGGCGCGCCCAGCACAGGCATGTTCTATCCCACCGCATTCACTAGATTGCATTCCAGCAACAGCAGTGGCGGCAACAGCAACAGCAAGAGCAGCAGAAGCAGCAGCAACAACCGCAGCAGCAGCAACAGCAGCAGAGTCAGTGTCAATATCCACAGAAACAACAGAAGCAACACCACAACCACTATCAGCAGCAGCAGTAGAAACGCTGTCAATAGGTCAATCAGGGTGTCTCGAGCCATGCAACGTCCAACCATGCAGCCCTCAACCGTTTGTTGCTGAAGCAGGCACGGCCACACCTCACAACGTATCCTTATGCAACTCCAAAACACGCTGCACACCACACGTTTCTGCCTCTGAACCTGCAAACGAGCTGAGTGCAAGGGTGTGTGGCTCAAGGGAAGCGCCACAACAACCAGCAGAGCATCACATTCGTGAGGCTCCTCAGGAAGAGATTCAAGAAGGCATGCTGTGTGCAGCTTCGAACCAGCCAAGTGCAAGGGTGTGTGCAAGGGTGTGTGGCTCAAGAGAAGCGCCAGAGCAACCAGAAGAGCAGGTGTTTCGTGAGGCTCCTGAAGTGGAGGAGCAAGGAGGTGTGCTGTGTGCAGCTGCGAACCGGCTGAGTGCAGGGGTGTGTGGCCCATGGGCAGCGCCAGAGCAACCAGCAGAGCAGCTGTTTCGTGAGGCTCCTGAAGAGGAGGAGCAAGAGGATGAGATGTGTGCAGCAGTGTGTGGAGTGAGGGCCATCTGGGTGCACCCAGCGCACAGGAAGAGAGGTGTTGCAACTGAGATGATGAAGGCTGTGAGGTGGGTTGCACGCATGTGTGTGAGTGCATGTGCGTGCATGAGCGCGCGCGCGCACGCATGTGTTTGTGATAATGTGCACGTGTATGCATGCATGCGTGTCGCATGCATGTCTGTGTGTGTTCATCCTCTGTACCTTCCATGCAACATTATGCCTCTCCCTTCTCTCTTCCCATTCATTCATCCCTTCCCCACAAGCAGCTGATCACACTCTCTTTCACCTCGCCCATGCGCTCTCACTTTCCCATGCGCTCTCACTTTCCCATGCGCTCTCACTTTCCCATGCGCTCTCACCTTCCCATGCGCTCTCACTTTTCCATGCACTCTCACTTTCCCGTGTGCTCTCACTTTCCCATGCGCTCTCACTTTCCCATGCGCTCTCACTTTCCCATGCGCTCTCACTTTCCCATGCGCTCTCACTTTCCCATGCGCTCTCACTTTCCCATGAACTCTCACTTTCCCATGCGCTCTCACTTTTCCCATGCTCTCCATCTCACATTCACAATGTTTTGTTTCATCCTACTACATTCCAACCCTAACCCATTTTCATCACTTCCCCTCCACTGCAGCATCTCCTTTGTCCATGCCTGCTCACTCTCCCCGTCTTTCCTCTCACTTTCCCCTCGCACCCGCTTGATTGGCCACCTTCCTTCCCCCTCTCCCCACCCCCTTTGCCTGCCGATCACGTCACCTTTGCCTGCTCACTCTGCCCATCTTGCCTCTCCATCTTGCCTCTCCATCTTGCCTCTCCATCTTGCCTCTCCATCTTGCCTCTCCATCTTGCCTCTCCATCTTGCCTCACCATCTTGCCTCTCCATCTCTCACTGCCTCCTCCCCCACCTCCTTTTCCCCCTCCCACTGCCTGCCATCACATCCCCCCCACCACAGCGTCTCCTTCGCCTATGCCTGCACGCTCTCACCAACCACCTCCCCACTTTTTTTCCCCTTTGTCATCCACCCCCCTTGTCTCCCTCCCCTCCCAACCGGCCCGCCCCTGGCCGCTCGTGCTTGGTGTTCATTCCACTGCACCATCGCCTTCCCCTATGCCTGCTCTCTCAAGGATCGATTCCTCTCATTTCTTGCCCGCACCCCCTTTCCTGGTCATGTCTCAATTCTCCACCCCCCCCATCCCATTGTCTTGCCATCCCCATTCCACCGCAGCATCTCCTTCGCCTATGCCTGCACGCTCTCACCAACTCAGATCGCATTCTCGCAGCCAACCGAGTCAGGCAGGGCCTTCGCAGCTGCGCCTGACCATTTCTCACTGCCTTCCCCCACACCCCCTTCTTCCCCTCACTACCTGACCATCCCCTTTTACCGCAGCATCTCCTTCGCCTATGCCTGCACGCTCTCACCGACTCAGATCGCATTCTCGCAGCCAACCGAGTCAGGCAGGGCATTCGCTGCTTCGCTCTGCCATCCCAAGCCCTTCCTGGTGTACAAATAATACTTGCTGGTGTTTTACGCGTGATTTCAAGTCAAGATAGAGCAGCGTTGGTCAGTTAACAAGGAGGGATGACCACACGAGTTCCACAAACGCGTCTGCCCACTATTGTTTTATTCTTTGCAATTTTTAAGCTAGTGAAAAGCAGAGTGGTGCACAACTATATTACGGTACTGCTACTGCATACATGAGATTTTTTTAGGGCCATGTTTTGGTCCTTATACAGTAAACATTGGAAGCACTATCTATTTACCAGCTGAAGGGAATGCATACGAGACTGCGAGTGCACATTTACAGTCCCCCTCCCATATGCTGCTGTGTTGTGTTGTGTCATCAGCTGCTCCTTTTCCTGTTACTACTGTTGTGGCTGCTTCTGCTGATAATTACTGCTGCATTTCCAGTCCAATATGCAGCAGTCTCACCTTCGCCTATGCCTGCACGCCTAGTACCGTACGGTAAGATGGTTTGTAGAGTTGTACTCTGGCATGGCAACAGTCTCTCTGCTAGAGTTACTCCTGATCAGGTGCTTCGTTTAGAGGCGCCTCAAAACAGTCTCTCAGCTAGAGTTACTCCTGATCAGGTGCTTCTCCTCCTGTTGCTGTTGCTGCTAGTCTATCCACCACCACTGCTCCTGCTTCTGCTTCAGTTGCTGCAGCTGCTGCAGCTTCTCCCGATTCCACCGATATTGCATTCCTGGCAGGCTTACCAGCTGGCTGATTCTGCCCTTCACCACTGCGAGGTGTGACTAAACTCGGTGTTATTGTAGCGGGAACATTTGAATCGAGTAGAGGTGTGAGCTTCTCGCCTGCTGAAGCTGAATCGGCTGCAGGGGAAACTTCTCCAGTTGCAGCTGTAATTGGCGGCGGCGGCTCTGTAGCTGGTGTGTTTGCAACAGACTCGTTAGTAGCAGCTGCGTTTGTAGCAGCGGAGATCACCGTAGAAGTTACTGTAGATCCGACGGCTGCTGAGGCTAACTTTGTGTTTCTCTGATGTGCCTCCCTGGCATGTGCTGATCTCCCATTGGCTGTGTGCAGACCAGTGCTTCTAATCTGAGCCTCTAGCAGTGTGACACGTGTGTCAATTTCCACCAACCGGCTGCTTCCAAATACCAACCAATAGGTGATCATGGGATGCCAAATCGGATGGCAGAAACGACCGCCAAGGATGTTTGTGGGGAGGACCATGCAGTGGGGGAGTGGGAGGATGGGAGTGGACGGGAGTGGGGGAGAAAGAGGGGCGGGGAAGAGAAGAATAGGACACAAGCGGGTTGGGGAAGAGAAGAGGGGTGGAGAAGAATAGGAGTGGGAGGGGGAGGGGAACTATGATAAACGAGGTATGAAAGTTAAAAGAAAGGATCCATGTCAGGTGACAGAGCAAATGGGGAAGTTGTACAGAAGCAGGAGAAGGTGAGGAGGAAAAGGGACAGGAGATTGCAGAGAAGGTGACACATGTGGTAGATATCCACGCAACGAGTTCAGCAGGCGCTGCTGCAAGCATACACCTCCGCAGAAGCATGCAAATGCTGCAGCAAGCATGCACGTGCTGGTGCACAGATGCATACTTCACGTGTTGCAGCAAGTTATCATGTGCCATCCATTTTGAATGGTTAATAACAAGAGTTCCTCAACGGTACCAAAATTGCTCTTGTTTTTAACCATTGAGGGCCCACGGGCTTGGTCGACATCTCATGACGCTTGGTCAACATTCTAATGACGCCTCGTAAGAATTTCATGACGTCAGCTCAACAATCTATGACGGCTTGCCGGTCAACATTAAAAGAAATCTCAGCGCGATCGAGGTGACTCACAGGTGCAGCGAGGTGACTCACAGGTGCAGCGATTGGAGTTTAGATTCGCACGACGCGGCGAAGGCGTTGAGAAGCTTCACTGTTCGGTCAACGAAAACATTCACCTGCCATTGCCCGCGCACATCAGTAACGCAACGACATGACACGCGGATCAGAATTCGGTGAGCATTTTACTGTAGATCCACGCGCAAATAGCGAGTTCAATTGTTTAAATCCGAAGAGCAAACGTGGGTGCACGACGAAGGAAGTGACTAGAAATCTATGATGCTACCCTGGCCAGCGCGTAACCAGAAAGATTGCCTCGCCTGGGAACGACGCAGTCAAGTCTAAAGGACTCAAAAGGGTCCTCGAGGCGCTCGGAAGGATATAATACAGGAGTAGAACAGAATTGGCAGCAATAGCGACCACAGCGACGGGTTATAAGGCGGTGAGGGAAGGAGCGGCAAGAAGGCTCGGAGAAAAGAAGAACAACGGAGGATGGAAGAGAAGAGCAACAGGCGTCGCAAACGGCACGCAGCGCATCCACGGCGCGCGCCTAGCCTAACCGACTCACAAGAATCACGGTTCGCTGATCTTCGGGAGCCGCCATAGCAGGCAAGGATAGATCACAACCGATCAACAATACTCCCGATATATTTATTTACTCATAACAACCTAACATGGCCGTTTGTCAGTTGACAGTCGGTGTTCGAACCTTACTGGCGATGATATATAACTCTCCGACGGAGTGGATGATCCACAACCCGTCAACCTCCGAAGGATTAGTCCCTGCTTGGCACGTGGCAGGCTAATGAGGATTGGAGAACTATATGAGCCTGGCTTTTTATGTTTCCTACAAGATACAGTACTTTGTTGCTTCTAACCAACAAGATATTTGTTGCTTCTCACCAACAAGATATTTGTTGCTTCTCACCAAGATATTTGTTGCTTCTAACCTACCGTACAATATATTTTGTTGCTTCTGACCAGTGACGCCTCCTAGCAAGAAGCCCATGGTAGGTGATTTGCATCCACATTAATTTATGCGTTTATATAAACACGAGATATATATTCATCGCTACATAAGGGACAGGTGGAGGAGGCGGTATTTGACATTCAACATTCATTCACCATAGTTTTATGTAAGACAAACAAACTACAATGCTTAAGACTACGTTTCTCCACAAACCGTTATCGACCGGATGGTTAGCTCCTCACCGTGGTAGGCTCGATGGGAGTAGCACTAACGGGAACTTCTTTGTTGTTCGGGATGAGAGCCTCTCATTGGCTCGGAGGGTTTATCCCGAGGCGCTCGTCTGACACCCACGTCTCGGCCCAGCTGTGGAACCGAAAACACCAACACCTCAAACGATCTTCGTCTCACATGCCGAAGTCAAGAGGGCTCTTTCTTGAGGGCTGCCAGTCACATTTTACGTTCTGTCGTCATCGCCTTTCAGCCACATGTCTCTGGAAAAACAAACGCTTGGCAAAATACGCTGCGCCGAGTGATTGACTCCTCAAAACCACACTTCACCATTCTCCATCTGGAAAAGATTCGTTGCGGGCTGCACTGGAACGAAAGTGCCTGACCAGCTTTGCGTATCGCTGACGCGCGTGCATTCCTCGGGAATGTCGCTGCAGGCTCTAGTGAAATTGCCGTTCCTGAACCCGAGAAGGTAGGCACGTCATTGGGATTTCAGAAGTTTTTACGACCTCTCAGTATTTATTCTCAAGCCTGGTTTCTACGACGGTTGATAGCCGAAGCCGACGCCTGATAAAGCAGCTTGTTCTGTCATCGCAGAAACATTATCGCACGCTCGTAGGACGCAGCCACTTCACGACAGGACGCAGGAGTTTCTTATATCACAGAGCTGCTCGTAGTTACCACTTACGATAAAAGCCTCTTCAAGCGCTACTCTGTTGTAGAACATAGGCGACAAAAAGCAGTCACATACTTCTAGTGGGAGGACCTCCACCGACTCCCATTGTTGAGCAAGAAACCTGTCGTCGCTGTAAATACTTAGGCCTCATATTCCAGTGGCTAGCTTAGCTCACGAAGACATTACTAATCAATCAATGATAAATAACTAGCCGAAGCTTCTTTAGTTCCTTATTAAATGTTTATCTTCCATTACGCGTGTGGCGCGTATGGTCTACCGCAGGAATGAGTCACTCACTAGTCGTTCAGTCTCTTTGATCAAAGAGCAGCCGTAGCCATTTCTCGTTTCCACCTTGTTATATGGGATATCCATCGGTTGATAGAGAGTGGGAAAGCCAGTCATTGCTAATCCACCGGCGAACTGCCTTGAATTCGACAATGACCGACGGAAACGATTCTTCCTCTGTCAGCTTCTCCGAATCTTCTCAACCATCTGCCAATGGTTGCTATCCGAGCACCAACGGACACGTCAGCCAGCCTGATGGGTCAGCTACCGCGAAGGCAACACTAGCTGCTACTCCAGACCGCACAGATGGTTATGCGACTACTGAGAATAGCGAAGCGAAGAAATACATCTCGAGGCAAGGCTTGTCACTACAAGGTTCAGCTGATAATAACACTGAAAAGACGGCGAAGCTTAGTACGCCAGGTGGGACGGAGTCGGGGGAATTGGCTCGGCGAGCGAGCTTGGAACGGAACTGGCTGCGCCAGTGCGCGCCGATTTTCCTGCATCCGACGCACGACATTCACGCGGGTCACGCGCTTGTGCGCGTGTTCTTCCGCTTCGTGCGAGAAGGGGAGGAGGCGGAAGCTCGCTCGCGCGGAAAGGAATGGACGGACTACATGGCTGGGGGAGAAGATCTCGTGGAATGGGAGGAAGCGATGGAAGCATGTGGAAAAATCGGGGAACGTGGGGCCGAGAATGGAGCAGAACTAGCGGCAGAGTTAGTAGGAGCGGTTGGAGAGGAGAAGGGAGTAGAGGCGAGGGGTGAAGCTGTTAACGGGAGTAACGCTGATGATTTGTTGTGCGAGCTGGTGGTGGTGTACGAGGTGAGGCAGGAGAAGTGTGAAGCGGATGCAGTGTACGCTTGACTGGCAGTCCCTTTTCTTGTTTTTCCAGAATAGAGCATGCAATTGATAGGACAATTGAGGGTTCATAAATGAAATGTCGCAACATGTTTACTGACGGTACTTTTCGTCTGACGCGACATTTGGTTTGGTGTGGGTGTGACTGACAGGGCGAGGCGAGCTATCGTCGGGTGAACCCTTATCAGGTCAACCACATGGCCACCTTCTTCTACATGTCGTTCAACAAGATAATGTACGTCCCCCTCCCTTCAATCTGTTTCGCATGCTTCTCTCCGACTCCCTATTGCAGGTCTATCGATTACATAACTTAGGAGGTCTCCATAACATCAATACCCTCTTTTCCTCCTATGTCTTGCCTGCAGGTTTGGCCGAACTGCTGACATTGACTATTTAACGATAACAGGTGTCAACCTCTCACTGGACCCCAGCACGAAGCCATGGAGGAGCGTACGTACCACAGATCACTGCGGCACTCAGGTGAGGAGGGAGGAGGGAGACCGCAGAATGCGACAGGGTGAGGACGAGCGGAAAGTGACAGAAGCGAGAATGGCTTGCGGTCAGCTCAAGGGTCAGATAGGTTGCGATTAGGGCCTCTGTGAACACGTAGAGGAGCGTGCGGACCACCAGCCACTGGAGCACACAGGTGCGGACGAGGCGAGATATTGAGAGAATCGGCGAGAAGGTGTGTGACAGGAGCACGAACGGAAAACGGCAGACCAGAGAGGATTGAAAGTGGTTGAGAGGAACAAGAGTGAGTATGAGGAAAGCCTTGTGCTCAGGATGGCAAGAGACCATGGAGAGAATTGGCAGCAGCAGTGCCCGTAACTACTTGAGTGTGGTGCGGTTGGCGTTTTTAAAGAGCATCAGCATTAGCTATGCTGCTCCCCGAACTGATGACGTTCGACTCTGCTTTGACTCCACCTGCATCTGACATGCACCTGACATGCATCTGACATGCACCTGACATGCACCTGACATGCACCTGACATGCACCTGACATGCATCTGACATGCACCTGACATGCATCTGACATGCATCTGACATGCACCTGACATGCATCTGACATTCATCTGACTGCTATGCATCTGACTGCTATGCATCTGACTGCTACGCGTCTGACTGCTATGCATCTGACTGCTATGCATCTGACTGCTATGCATCTGACTGCTATGCATCTGACTGTAATGTATTGGACTGCTGTGCATCTGACATCTGATTGCAATGCATTGGACTGGTATACATCTGACGGCAATTTTTGTGACTTTTATGCATCTGATTGTTGTCCGCTGATGAGCAGACATGGTCGCAGGGCAACAAGGCTGATGTAGTGTGGTGGCTCTCTCTCTTCCACCACTACACTGTGGACGTGCCCTATGAGGAACTGCAGGTATCATACCTCGTTAGAGTCTACTCTTGACTCTTGTCTATCAATACACAGCCAAAATACCCTATGAGATAGATCAGTATCTAACCTGATCGGTAGAATCGAGGTGCTCAAGTACCTTCCACCTTTAAACTGTGGAGGTTCTGGCACTTGATCAGTTAAATAGGAAGCGGGGGGTGTGGATTTTAATAGTCTGCCAGCTTGGCTCAGCAAAATTCTTGCTATAGTCTAGTCTCCAAAGCATTTGTTCTGCTGTGGAATGTAGCAATTGAGCTGTTATTGCATCAACGTTTTCCTCTCTCCATTCCTCCTCTATTCTGCATTGCACTTCCTGTCGTATTCTCACCTCTTAGATTCCTCCCTCACTTTTCCTCACCTTCCACCATCTCACCTCATTCCCCATACCGCCCCTTTCATCCCTCATTCCGACCTCTCCAGTCCCCGTATCGCCCTCTCTACTCCTCGTTTTGGTCCTTAAACCCCAAATTCTACCCCACACTTGAGTCAATCATCCATTCTGTTCCCAAGTATGAGCCTCATTCCTCCTTTCGTGTCTCCATCCCCACACTCCCCTAAATCCCTCAAAACGCAGAAGGACGAGCAGGCGAAACACCGCCCCATTATTTATGTGAACACGGCGAACCATCTTATGGGGGAGACCAACGCCAACCCCCAGTTCCCACTAACCACCTGGAGGCACTACCCCCTACACCGAGGGGGGCCTCCTGAAGCTGAGCTCTTTGCACGGAGGAGCATATTGAGCAAGCCCATTTTGTGGAACCCTTTCCCGGGATGTTTAAGTCGTTCGTGCTCCTGAGTTGAGTCAGATGAACATTGACACACTACCCGCTACACAATGGGGGTCTTTTTGAGATTTTGCACACAAGAGCAGACTGAGCAAGCTGATGTATGTGCAGCCTTTTCTAGTGCTGCATGTTGCCCACTGCCCTTACTGAACGGGGTCCATGTTAAGCCATATCTTGTAGTTATAATAAATAAATGCTTATCATGAAGTACCGTAAGACCTTGCAGAGGGAGGGGGAAAGAAGGGTCACGAGCTTGAAGGGCAATAAATGACATCAGGTGATAGGTGATTACATGAAGTGGTGACTAGGAACCTACTTCCAACAAAAAGTCAGTCTATATAACATGGTCTACCTTACTCACGTACCGTACTAGTACATTGCAGTTTTGAACC